AAACAAGAAGTGAGCAAAAGAGGACACCATAATTTGTTCCTGTGTCTAGATTTCTTGAGCTCTCAGAGATGCTTGAAGATCATGCATGGTTAAGATCTTATATAGACAACATTACATTGACTTGGAAAAGTACAGATTTTTATTTTTATTTTTTTGGAAATTTCTTTTCTTTCAAAACTTCTAATCTAGATAAATAAAAATAAAAATACAGATTTATATTGTCTATATAAAAATACAGATACATTGACTTGGAAAAGTACAGATTTTTAAGACCTTATACAAATGCAATTATATTAATTAGATAAATTTATATTTTCAGTTAATTTTCTATTAAAATAAAAATAAAAATAAAAGCAACCTCTAACCATTTTTTTATCTTCCAAAATGTGAACTGAATAAAGAAAATTAAAGTTGCGTATAATCAAGGGCAGTCTGACTACGTCTACTCCCATCAGTCTGACTACGTCTACTCCCATTTCATTTCCCATTTTGTACCTACTAATAAAAATGAAAAATGGCTTGTTTGTCCTAGACACAATGACAGACTTACCATTATTTTCTTCCAAAATCCCTCTTTTGAATATCAATTTCTTTCTAAGTTGGATATTTTACAATATGCTGTGAATCAATTTGTTGGTTTTGCCAATGTTTTATTGATTTAAATATAAGGAGTTTGGTTTTTTTAAAATAAAATTTTGAATTAAACTTTTATGAATAAAAAAAAAATTTTAAAATTTTTTTATAAGATCCGATACGACTTAATTTTAAATTAATTAATATTAATGTATCTTCCATATACCAGATATTAGTATAAAAAAAAAAAAAAAAGCATTGTTGGGTTCTGTTTTCGTCAGTTTCATGCTTAGTCAATAAATAAAAAAGCAACCATAAATTCTATTTTAGTTATAATGGATTGATATGAAATCTCGGTAGAACGGGACTTTGGCTTAGCATCGTGTGATGTTTGTTCTCGAGTTATTTTTGCTTATGAAAAATCCAAAAGGGCCCCCCTAATGTCCATCTTCTTTCCT